CTGCGTCACGGGCTTTTTCCCAAAGACCCCCGGGACAGCTCCATGGTCAGAGCACTTCCTGCTCCCCTAGCACAAATGAAGGAGACCATGGCAACGAGGCTGCCAGGTGATGGGAGAGCCAGGTAACCTGAGCGGTGACACCGGTGGGAGAAGAGGCGCCTTGCCTGAGCATCCCGCCCTGGGTGCGGCTGCTCCCACACCTCCTTCTGTACCTTCTCATTGTCTTGTTCCTTCCCTGTCTTTCAAGACCCCTGCCCAGACCCTGAGCCTTGCCTCGTGGTGAGCACATGTGTGGAGTGGACACCACCTCCTTCATGTCCCTGCGGCCCACGAAGCATGGCTACAACCCTCCCCTTGCCCGCCCGCAGGTCCTGGTGCACATCATTGCCCTCCCTGGTGGTGGCACGTGAGACAGGAATTCAGAGGTGCAGAAGGACGAGGTGGGGTGAGCCAGTGGACGGCGGGACAGCCATCGGCCCGAAGGTGCTTCCTGAAAGCATGGTTTGGGGCATTTTACCAGCAATGGCGTGGTTGTGGGGACCGCCCTGAAGGCCCGGGAAGACGGCAGCGTTGATGAGTGACTCCAGGTTGTACAGAATCTCCTTGCCAGTCTTGGGGTCCACGCTGCGCACTCCTGGGAAAGAAGGACATCAGGACAGAAGCCCAGAGGCTGCCCCCTGTTCTCCTCCACTTGGACTCAGGCTCAGCCTGACTCGCATGTCCCCGAGAGCAGAGGCGGGGAGTTAAGCACGTGGCTGGCCTCCACTCCCTGCACTGGGCAAGGGGTTTCCAAGCCCACAGAGCAGAGGGTCCTTCCCCTCCTGGCAGTGCGCCTGCTCTGGGTGGTACTGCCGGATCAGGCACCTCAACAAGATACCCACTCTGCCATCAGCACCTGTTCTTAAGAAAAAAGTTTGACTTGTGCAGGGAGGTTCACATGAGCATCTCTCCTTGGCAGCACGCGCCGGTAAGGTGGCTTTAGCAAGTTAAAGTGTCCCTCATGGAGACAGGTACGGAGACGGCGTCTCGCGTCTCGGGTCTGTTTCCTTAAAAGGAGAGTCCAAGAGAGGGGGCTAGGGAAAGGGGTCGGAATGATCTGTCACTGCAGGGCCACTTTCTCTTCCCACTCTGGTTTGTGCCTGAGGTCTCACCGCGGGCTGGGTGAGGAGCTGTTATTAACTTGGCTTTCCAAGAGTAAGAGTCTGGAAATCAGGCGGGAGCCTGGCTGTGGGCGGTAAGCATTCCACAACCGGAAGGAGAAATTCCTCCCCAAAAGGATCGAAAAGGAACCACGGTTTCCAGATCGGCCACTTGGCGGTTTGGTTGCTGTGAGTTTTCCTTTAGAGACACAGACGAGGGCACAGTGGGTCTACCGAAACGACAGGGCCGTGGCAGGTGCTGCCTGGCCACGCTGTGCACATCCTCCTCCCATCCACACACCACCGCCTGCCTCCCTGGCGAGAAGCCGGCCGGGCCACGGGGCAGAAGGCACCCAGCGCAGTACAGACTAGCACCCAGATGGGGCAATAGCAAGAGAGCCGGGGCTCGGGGCGTCTCCTCCGAGAGGCCCCCCCCAGAAAAACCTGTCGCCGTACCTTCCTGCCTCGCTCTCCCAGGGTCCCAAGCTCAGGACTCATCCCAGTTCCCGGGGGGTGGGGGTGGGGGGGACACAAGCCCCTGGCTGTGCCCAGGCCCGCAGCAAACACACCTTTCCTGTAGAAGATCATCCCAGCCCGGCAGCCTCTCAGGGTCTTGTGGGTGGTGGTGGACACCACGTGGCAGTGCTCAAAGGGGGAGGGCACCACGCCAGCGGCCACCAGCCCACTGATGTGCGCCATGTCCGCCATGAGGTATGCCCCGTTTTCGTCGGCAATCTTTCTCAGGCGGGCGTAGTCCAGGTTCCGGGAGTAGCAGCTGACGCCTGGGAGGGGATGGTGACACTGTCCTGTTAGAGTAACCTGGCCGCTGGGGCCACGTGGGTACCACACACGCAGCTCAGAGTGCCTACTAGAGCCAACCACCCCGAGCTGCCCCCCAACGCCAGGGCGCTCAGACAGAGCTCCCAGGCTTAGCACCCCAGACTAGCTCTCCCACCCAGACTGACGGCTGTCTTCTCGGGTCAATGTCTAAAGGGCTCACGTGGTGTTTGGCTCCCTGGTGAAAGAAACATTGCTTGTACTACCCAGGGCACAGGTGATATAGCTACACTTGGGTGGGAGGCATCTTTGCATCTCAATTTTGTCCGGGGAACACGGGTTCTGCTGACCACTCAGCCCAGGGGTTCACCTGCGATTATCAGCTTCGGGTGGAAAAGGCGGGCGTTCTCTTCCAGCTGGTCGTAGTTGATGTAGCCGGTGTCCGGGTGCACCTGGAGGACGGCGCAGACGGGCAGCTCACCCTCCTAACCCCGGCCACCCTGCACCCACCCTCCTTGAACTCAAATTCCCTTTCAGGGACACCACCTCTTCCCAGCTCGGGGGCGGTGCAAGCAGCACACCTCTCAGCTGCTGCCCCAAGGGCTGGAGGCGGGAGCCCACCCAGGGGCACCCAGAGAAAGGCCCGGTGATCGGCCAGAAAGGCCAGCCATGGACCACCTTACTTATGGGGCCTGCTCCTGAAGACTGCTGGGAATTCCTAACACACAAATGATTAGACGGTTTGAGTGAAACAACAATAACACCCCCCACCCCGAGACATAGACCTACCCTGACCATGTGGCCAGGGGTCAACCAGGTGACAACGGATGACTACACGCTTTGAAGCCCATCCCCAGGACAAGTTCTGGCCAACATCGAGATCTGTAACGGAAAACTGTGGGCAATGGAACCGGGAAGAGTGTGTATGCGGACAAGCTCTCTAGGTTCCTATGTGAAGGAGTGAGTGGGGGGGGAGGATCCCATGGGGGGAGCCCTTCACGGGTTCCAGTCACACTCTCCTAACTAAAAGCTATTGACCACGATGTCCCTACCCCAGTAACATCAGTTTTAAGGTGCCACTTGCAAGCACATGGTAGCTACCATAGATGCTTGAACGACACTTGCCTGCAGGGTGCCTGGCAAGAATCAGACCCTCTTGTCCGTCCCACCCTAAGTAGGGCCCGCTCCTTTCTGATAAGGATCATAGATTGTCCCCTGGAGAAGAGCTCAGAGACACCCATGGTCAAGCCAGCTCAGAGGCGACTACGGTTCGGCCACCATCTTAACTCTAGAACCCACCCATCTTGTTTACCTGTGTACCTTCCTGTCACATGAATGCCTGATGCCGCCCCTTCCTATTGTGTTTATAGCTCTAGCTCGTCCCCTTCCTGTTACATATCTGCCTCGAATAGATCCCCTTCCTGTTACGTATGTGCTCACCGGGCTTGCATGCCCGAGATGACATCCGCGCCCGAGAGAATACATTACTGCCTCAGTCTGGTTCCAGTCGCCGTGGAAGAGGTGGGCCCTGGCATCCCTGTCTTGTGTCTCTTTAATTTACCCTCAGTGACACAACTGCCCCTCAGACCCATTCATTGTGGGGAGGCTGGTCCCCCGCAGACAACATCGAGGCAGTCAGTGACAAATGAAACCTCGCCCGCAGACCAGAGAGCACCCCTCGTGTGCAAGAACTGAGGCGGAGGCTGAGCAAAACCAAAGGGCCAACAGAAGGCAGCGCAGACCTCTGAAAGCCCAAACCCAAACCAACCAAGCAAACCAACCGTGCCAGCGAGGCCCTGCCACCACCGGCCCCGGGTGGCAAAGAGGAAATGAGCCAGGAACAGCACACCTGACGATGGAGACTGCCACCGATGGTTCTCAGACAGGAGGCAGGCCCACCTTGTATACTAACTCCCTAAGCTTATGCAAGAACCTCTTCTCTGCCCAGCATGCAAATCCTCACAGATCAGCCTCTATACGCCTCCCGGAGCACATACCCACACTCATCAAGTCCACTCTGACTCACAACCACCCTCTCAGGTTTCCAGGACTGGCAATCTTTATGGGAATAGACAACCTCATCTTTCTCCTGTGGAGCAGTTGGTTTGTTTGAACCAACAACCTTACGGTTACCTGCCCAACACCTAACCCACAGTGCCACACGGGCTCCCAGGAGCCCTCACGTTCTATGGTGCCTTTTAAAATTCACGTTGTTTCGATGAACAGGGCCCCCAGGAAGCCCTGGGCACTGCTTTGACAGTTGTTGCAAAGTATACAGAGGTGCCCAGGCGGTAACTTTGGAGACAGATTGCCAGACGTGGGTCTTGAGAAGCCTCTGGGAATCTGTGAACCACCAACCTTTTAACTGCTAGTTAAGTGCTCAACTGTCTGCACCACCAAGGAACTGGGCCACATACTGGGCATACTACTGACATGGGCCCTAGGGGGTGGGTAGGGGGCTGGGGGGAGTGGGGCTAGGCAGTTAGAGCGGCAACGGAGTGCAAGGGTCCAGGCTGTGGCATGGATGTGATGGTTACCCTGCACTGGCGGTTGGAGGTGAGTGATGTCATCTCCCTCTCCTCCCTGGTGGCAGGAGCTCCCCTAACTGGATGTGGAGGGTGGGGGCTGATGTCCAGGGTGCTAGTATGGGTGCCACAGTCAGGGACTGTTCTTGAAGTAGCAGCTGGGTTTCCAAGCTGGGCTGCAGCTGGGTCCTGAGCAGCCGAACACCCCTGGGGGTTGTCTCTGCATCTGCATCCCGGCTGCCCCACCCTGACCCGCCCTGCCCAGAACCCCAGGAGGCTCCTCTATTCAGGGAAGGAAAAGGAGAAACGGGAGCCCCGGAGACTCCCTGTATTGCCACACAGGAGAAACCCTCCAGGCAGCTGCAGCCAGACCCTGGGGTCTCCTGGGGCGCACACTCGGGCACCACGGAGAGGCGCACACTAACCTTATAAGGCATGGACTCAAAGAAGATGGACGTGGCTGAGATCTTCTTCTTCTCCGTCATGAACCCATGCGTCAGATGGCCTCCGTCGGGCAAGTCCAGGCCCATGATGCGCCCATGGGGCTCCACCAGGGCAGTGTACACCGCAAAGTTGGCCGGGGAGCCTGCCGGGGGAGTCAGAGCGGACACACCTGGTTCTTTTCCTGAGCAGCCCCCAGGCCCACCTCCACAAGCCCTCTTGTAGGTCTCCTGACTCATCCCCCTGAGAATAAGGGTACATGGGGTGGGGAGAGGCAGGGCAGCTGGAAGCCCAAGAGCAAAGGTGGCAGATGTGACCTGCTGGCAGTGCCCAGGTGTTCCTCACTTTTGTTTGGGGCCCTGGGGAATTGTCAGGACACACGCGTACCTGAGTAGGGCTGGACATTGACCCCCCAGCACTGGGGGTCCAGTTTATAGGCCTGCAATGCCCGCTTCTGGCAGAGGATCTCCAGCTCATCAACGAACTCTGTTCCGCCATAGTACCTGTGGAGGGTGCGAGACTCAGTGCCGCCCGGCCCGCCCTCCCCTCAGCAGAGCCGGGGCCTGACCCCATTCCTGCCCCAGGAGCACACACTCCCTGGGCCCCGCTGAGAAAGCACCTCCTCACCCACAGAGGGAGTGTTCTCCCGTTGGTGGGAAAATGAAACAAAAAACCCAGTAGAATTTCCCCACCTTTGTGAAGCCCTCTCGCATTATCATGTAAAACTTTCCGTTTTAATAATCTGGAGCATAACCAGGGACATTTGTCACATTCACTACATTGTACGACTGTTCCCATTCCTTACCTATCTCCAAAACGTTCTCATGACCCGAAACACGTTCTCATGACCCGAAACACATTCTCATGACCCGAAACACGTTCTCATGACCCGAAACACATTCTCATGACCCGAAACACATGGCTGCGAACGAACACATCGCAACAAAGCCCTGCCCATCCCGGCATCACCCCCATGGCTGCAGCCAGTGTCGTTGCATCTAGTTGAGGATCCCCCGCTCTCTTTTGCTGACCTTCTTTCCAAGTATGATGTCCTTCTCCGGGGACTGGTCCCTTGGGATAACATGCCCAAAGTAGGGAAGGCAAAGTCTTGCCATTTTCACTTGTTTTTTTTTTAAAAATCATTTTATTTGGGGCTCGTACAACTCTTATCACAATCTATGCATCCGTCCATTGTGTCAAGCACATTGGCACATTGGTTGCCAGCATCATTTTCTTTCTACTTGAACCCTTGGCATCAGCTTCTCATTGTTCCCCCTCCCTTCCCTCCCCTCCTGAACCCTTGATAATTTATAAATTATTATTTTTTCATGTCTTATACTGACCGATGTTTCCCTTCACCCACTTTTCTGTTGTCCAACCCCCTGGGAAGGGGTTATAGGTAGATCATTGTGATTCGTTCCCGCTTTCTCCCCACCACCCTTCTGGTATGGCTACTCTCATTATTGGTCCTGAGGGGTTTATCTCTCCTGGATTCCCTGTGTTTCCAGTTCTTTTCTGTAGCCGTGTACATGCTCTGGTCTAGCTGGATTTGTAAGATAGAATTGGGATCATGATAGTGGAGGGGAGTATTAAAGAACTAGAGGAAAGCTGTATGTTTCACTGGTGCTACACTGTCCATCCTCACTTCCAAGGGGGCATTGCAGCTGTACTTTCTCAAGGCAGACCTTTTGGGTCTTCGGGCAGTCCCTGGCACACTTCTGACTCCTTGTCAGCACCCTCATTCAAACGCAACTGTCACCCATTCGTCTTCTTTACATGCTACTTCATCACACCTTTTGCACACGTGGGGCAGGTGCGCCCTTGTCTTCAAAATGCTATCTTTGCTTCTGAGCACTTTTAAGCGATCTTTTGTGGTGTATTTGCCCAACGCAATCCATCATTTGATTTCTTGACGATTGCTTCTGTGGGCTTTGACTGTGGATCCAAGTAGATCCAAATAAAATGACGTTACTGACATCATCCCCTCCCTGTTTATGATGCTGTTGCTTACTGGACTGGTTGTAAAGATTTTTGCTTCTATAAATCAAAGTGTAACCGATACTAAAGGCCACACTTTTCTTATTTCCATCAATAAACGCTTCAAGTCTTCTTCACTTTCAGCAACCAAGGCGGCGGCCCCTGCATCGTGCAGGTTGTTAATCCCGGCATTAGGAAGGTTGAGAAGCACTGTGTCTGGAGGGTAGTTCTCGTCTACAATACCTGGGGTTTACACTAATGGGAATTAACTCTACAGCAACTGGGTGGTGTTGCTGCTGCTGCCGCCGCTGCCATGAACCGTATGTGTATTCCAGTTTCAAGGATGCTGAAATGGGGAAAAGTAAATGCTTCAGACTGACGACATTTGGCAAGTACTCGATACAAGAGCAGTTCCCAACTGCAAAGCGTTTAACCACGGAGCCCTGGCGGGGCAGTGGTTACTTGCTGAGCTGCTAACTGCAAGGCCAACAGTTTGAAACCAGCAGCCGTTCCTCAAGGGAAAGACGGGGGCTTTCAACTCCTGTAGAGAGTTAGTCCTGGACACTCACAGGGGCAGTTCTATCCTGTCCTGTGGTGGTCAGTATGAGCTGGCATCCACTCTACGGCAGTGAGTGTGGTTTTTTGGGTTAAGCCTTTGAGCTTGGATGGCCATTCTATTCTGAGTAAGAGATTCTGATGCTTGATTTGAGCTAGGAATGTAAACCAAGTTGTTCAAATTAACTTCACTCACAATTAAGGTGGCTCCTCCTCATTTGAGGACTCTCAGACGGGGAGACACACTGCTCATTTAAATCTCAGCAGTAAACACACAGCAACTTCAATACCTTTCTAGGCCCAGCAACCACCCACCTCACCTCTTCACAGGCAGATCCACTGGGCCAGGGTGAGTCTCAGAAATGGTCGGTCTTTTCTATGGGCTCGACTAGAAATGTTGGAGCCTCCGAGGCAGTTTGGAATTGGTGACAAGAACATCTGGCTTCATAGTCCAGTTCTGCTACCAGGGAAACCCATGTGGTCCCTGTGCTGTGACCTTGGGAAGTCACTTCATTTAGTGCATCTCAGCCTCCCCAGAAGGAAATCGAGGCACCACCACCACCTCTTGCCGTACAGACTCGCTGTGCGGATCAAAAGAGATCCTAGATGTGAAGTCACTTGGTGAACTCTCTAAGGAACATTGTAAAAGGTAGTTGTTGACTATTGTCCTTAGCTGCCATCAAGCAGGCCCCTACCTCATGCCAACCCCATGCTCCGCAGGCCAAAATGAACCAAAGGGTTCCCCAGAGTGGACCTTTGTGAGCCAAATGGTTTTCACTGGCTAATTTTCAGATAGACCACCAGGCCTGTCTTCCTAGCCTGTCTTGGTCTGAAAGCTCTGCTGACTGACACCTGTTCATCATCACAGCAACATACAAGCCTCTACTGACAGCCAGGTGATGGCTGCACATGAGGTGGTCTGGAATTGAACAGGGTATGCAGGGTGGAAGCTGAGAATTTTTTTTGTGTGTGTGGAAATAATCTGAAACTTTTATTTTATACATTGGATAAGAACAGAGTAAGCAAACCCCAACTCCACGGCAGCATTACAGAAACCATCCCTTCACCAGTGTCAGATGTACATGGTACCTGCAAAAGGGCTCATCTGACTTAAAATGTAGAAGGACTGCTGCCATCCTGCCAACCACCCCCAGTCCCTAGAGGTCCGTCCACAATACAGGTGGGGTCCCAAGTTTTATCATCGAAATCAACCAATTTCGGAAGAAATAAAGCACTTAAAAGGACAAATCAATATGCCTCAAGTTGCCATTTATGGATCTAATTTGCATCAATAAATGACTTGTATTTGTTTCTGTTGATAAGCCTTAATTTTGCTGTTAGTGATAAATCTTCCATACATTATCTTTTTACCCAACCAAGGAAGCGGAGAATTTTACCATGGACCCACACAGTTTAGTGAAAGAGAAAAACATTTTCTCTCACCTTGTGTCTCAGCTTTTTTACAGTGCTTCCGGGGTGTCTTAGGATAGAAGGAACATTTATACTCAAAGTATGATCCTTCCTTGTGTCTTGCTAACATAAATAAATGTGCCCAAACCAGATTTCATGTTGTTCCCAACCCCCCCCAACTCTACCCACCGCATGTCAGGGGTGACTGTAAAATAAACAAAAAGGAATGTTAGCTTTTCATGGGTTTCAGAGTAACAGAGTTCACTGAAAACCACTACAGGATTTATATAATCCAACATTAAAATGCAGATACGGTTCCCATTACTTGATTCATTTTTCAGCTCGGTACTCTTGCGTAGCAACGAACCCCTTCCATGGGGTTATCCAGGTGCTCGACAATGGTCCGGCACTTCAGCACTCCCTACAGACCGCCTGTTGTGATGGCTGAGCTGTGCATCCCCTTGGCTGGGCCCCGAGTCTGGCTGGACACCGAAGAGGTAGTCATCTCATGAGATCTGATATCATGTCATCATCCCCCACTCGGAGATCTGCTAGGAGCAGCCAATTTGAAAGGGAGTTTCCTATGTTCTAAAATTGACCGTGGTAATGACTGTACAGCTCTTCCTGATATGACTGGACTATTGAGTAGTATGGTGTGTGGACGAAGTGCCAATAAAACTGTTCAAAAAAGGAGTTTTTTTAGGCGCGTGGCCTGCATTAATTACGCATGGTGATTCGGGCAGAGCTCTTTACGCTGCATGTTTTTTATTTACTGAAACCTGAATCGGGATTTCACCATGGGACTGCCAGTTCTTGGCACCTGAGCCAGTGTCCTACCTACTGCCTCCCGGTCTTGGATTCACCAGCTTCCACAGGCTGTGGGCCAGCAGCCTGGCCTGCTGACACTCACCAGCTGCCGTGGCATGTGAAGCAGACATCGGACCACTGACTTGAGGGTTCCCAGCCTCTTCAAACCACATGAACTAGTTTTTTGAAATAAATCTTAGGGGGGGTGTACATATGTGTACACATCTACATGTGTATACACACACACACACACACACACACACACACACGGCCTAGTGAGTATGCATTAGGCGGATACCCACAAAGTCTGAAGTTCAAAACCACCAGCCTCTCCGAGGAAGGAAGATGAGGCTTTCTACACCTGTAAGGTTATGGGCACGCACAGCAGCAGCTGCACACTCTCCTATAGGGCTGCTCGCCGAGTGGGCATGGCTCGATGACAGTGAGTGGGGTTTGTACATATGAGGACATAAGTTTCAGTGGTTTTGCTTCGCTAAAGAAGCCAGCCTTAGAGATCTGTCATTCTAGAAAGCTCT